CAAAAATCGACAAATCAAGACTTACCAGAGAGTGTTCTTTTCTTGAATCTTAAATCCTCCAAACAGTATATATTGACGAATTTCTGAGCAAGAACGCGGGATCTAACGAAAATAGGACGGCGAGAGAATAATAACTGATAAGGTGTGTGAGATAATAATTGATATACAGATCTAAGCCGCTTAAATCGTAGCAGAAGGAAGAAGAAGAAGAAGAAGAAAAAAAAAAGTGGAATACGGCTGATTTAAGTGATAACATTTCTGGATATATAGGTAAAGGAATTTCTGAGGCTTTGGTATACAAATAATTTAGCATTTTAGCTTATAATTTATTTGGTTGATTTATAAGGTCCTTGTATTTAAATAAGTCTCGTTTAGTAGGACGAGCTTTTAAGCTCGAGCTTATTTTTTTTAGGTAGCTTTTTAAATAGATTTAGTTGAATTTTTTATTCCAACTAGTTTATCAACTAATTTTACTAAATATTTTTATCATATAAGCTAACTTATCAGCTATAAGTCACAAGTTATAAGTTATAAGCTAAAAAATTGCTGATAAGTTAGCTAGTTTATAAGTTAGCTAGTTTATAAGTTAATTTATCAGTTAATTTTATCAAACATAGTTTAAATCAACAACAAAAAAAGCAGTGGGGCCCATTTGTGGATATATTATAGGTAATGGAAGATGGTTGGTGGTGCTATACTCCGTTCTTGATAAGAAAACCACGTCCATTTTATTATTGATGATGATGATTTGAGATCTTATCCAATTGTATTTGTCAATTTGAACTTATCCTAAAATGTCATCACATCTTACCAACTGTGAATATATTGGCATGGACAATATGACTAATTAGACAACTAAAACTTTTCAATTATTGGTATTCACCGTGGTAGTTAAACATTTTAGAGGAACTTACACTCGATACTAAACATTATTCTTTATATTATAACTTTATATTTCATATATATTTATTTACAAATCTACCACATGTATCATAACTATTTGTATATATAATAGAGTTTTAATAACTGTCAACTCCTTAATTAGTGGCAAATAAAATTTTAATATATGTCAACTCCTTAATTAGTGACAAATAAATCAACCGGAATTGCTTACGGGGTACCAGGAAGAAGAGAAGCAGTACAACAGCTTCCAGAAAAGCAAGTCCGCGAAAATGGGGGAAAAATGTGAAATAGACGAAGATAAGCAGGGATACATACGATCGCCGTTCAGGTGGTGGTCTCTTCAACAGGAGAAAAGTGTTCGCGATGAGCTGCTCGAAGGCTACTCAAGTGCGAAATGCCCTCTGGCTGCTGGTTCTCGAGTACAAGAAGGGAGGGGAGGAATAGGGATTGGAGCAGGATAAAAGGAAATTGGACATGAAGCCAGGAATAATTAATTGTATGTATATGTATATGTGTGTATATGGCCATCGATGAGAACGAGATTTGATTCAAAATTAAACCTAGCCCTAATGCGTTTTTTGTATATTTTATGTATATATTATGTATATAATGACAAGATTGATTTATCTTCTGTTATTTTCTTTTATGTCCTATGTATACAAAAGTATATCTTTTGTATATGTTCCCGACAAATATACTCACATTTAGTATATGTTTCGCTTATAATCAGTGAATATATCATATGTATATGCTGAGTGTGTAATGAGTATATCTTCTGTATATAAGTCTGATCGCGAAACAAAAAATAATTACGAAAAGATAAAATTACCAGGTTATTTCTTATATTTTTCGGACTTATATGTTTTCTATATATCTTCTGTATGTATTTTATATATATTATGTATACAGAAAAAAGACAAAAAAAAATGGAACATATATGTTTAATATACGGTATTAACACGATGCGAAGTTTAAAAATTAACAAAAACAATTCGACCTGCACAAAAAATACTTGATTTGACGAAATATGTATTTAGGATTATGGGATTTGCAAATAGTTATACGCTAAGGTGGTTTAAAATTCAAACAGTTATGTTTCCTATTTCTACTGCACAAACTCATTATTAGGGTATATTGACTTACCATATATATTTTTAATTTTATTTTTTAAAGTCTGTCAATTATTATGCCAAGGGATGCGTAATGCGTTATCCTTAATTTTTCAAGAATGGTAATTAATTCCAACTATTATGTAGGGATGCGATACAATGTTTGACCATGGCATGTTTACAATTATTTTCAAATTGTACAGTATAGATAAAATTTTGATAACATTTTAAACAGTGACGGATCTAGGAATTTTATCGAGGGAGCCCAATTAATAATAACAAAAAAAAAAAATCAACTGAACATAAATAAATTAATACAAGTATCGACTAAATAAATTACGATAACATTGAGAGGTCACAACATTTCTCTTCTATTTTTCATGTGTTTGAAATTGTTTCATGATAACCTCATTGATAACGTTCCAAGACTAGTACAGAGCTCGTGCGATGCACGGGTGCACAATTTTAAGGTTATTTATCCAGCCTTATAATTATATAAATAAATAAAAAAATATACGGGATATATATAGTACGGATCTGTGCAAGACACGAGATATATTTATTTGGGGAATATATATTATAAGATGCAATATTCAATAAAAATTTTATAACACGCAGGAAAATTATACAATAAAATAGTATTCGACAAAGAAACAATTATATTATTAAAGACCTCATTGTACATAGATATTAAATAATCTATATTTATATAAAAAGCCATCATACTTACTAGAATTAGTAGTAAGAAAAGTCAAAGGTAATTAATGCGTTCTATTTTCATCAAGTATTTTATTTTATTTAATTGTTTTATTTCATAACACATTTTCAATACAACTTATCATGTTTTTTCTGTTGTGATTAAAAACCCGATTTTACGTTTAAAATCTTGTGAAATTATTATTATTATATTTATAAAGCACATATTATTTGTTAACAAATGGTGTATATAAATATATATATATATAAATATATATATATATATTATACACATCACAATACCATGGTAGATGATTTAAATTTCAACCTAACAAAATGCCAATGATTTAAATTTGAATACACATATGTATTTGACAAAATATCTTAATGATTTTAAATTGAGCTCATAAAAAATTATTTAAATTTGAACACACCAGAAATTTTATTTATTTAAATTTGAACACACCAGAGTACTTTTTAGTTATCAATATATTGAAAGTAGTATTTAATGGCTGTTATATGAACTATTTTAATATATTTGCAATGAATAAAAGTTTGAATTAATAATTTGTAATGTTATTCATTATGTTTGTAACTTGTGAAACACGAACACATAGATACATATTTGCCAGAAGGCGGCTAAATAATTTTCGTAGATTGTTCAAATCTATAATGAATCAACAAATTATGGAATAAATAAATAATCATGAAAATGTTTTCTACACTGATAAAACGTTACAAACTGATAAAGGCTAAAAAAATAATATGAAATTTTTTTATGTTTGTTTAGAATAACAACATTGATCCAACAAATTCATCTTTCCTGTTTGGTCAAAATAATAATCAAACTTTATAAATCAATAAGCAAAATATTTGGTCATGTTAATAATCAAACTTTATAAATCATTAGCAAATGAAAAAGCAGCCTTAATTGAATATAGAGTATGTTGTAAAATTGAATGTAATATTTTAAATCAATTCACACGGTTAAATTTGTGATAATTAAAAGTAACAAACTAAAAAAAATTAAAAAGTTTAGATGACATGTGACATGCATCCCCCTTCGAGGAAACCTTTATCTTATAGCAGAATACTGGCTGCATCTAATCTAATAGATGTGTAGAAGAACATGATGGATAAAAAACCTCATCATAACGAGAAAACCTTTATCTTATAGCAGAATGCTGGCGGCATCTAATAGATTTTATTTTTCTTATTTGCAACCAACATGCTAGCTATACTAAAGTAAACCATTATATCATTAAAAATATATTATATTTATATTATAAAATCATAAAAAGATATTAAATTCATATTGTAAAAAAAATAATTAATGTAATTTTATAACAATTCTACTACACTATTTAACAGTATTCCTTTTTACTATATAATAAAATAATAATTAAATATTATATGGTGAACAAGAATAAGCAGAACTGTTACTTTTTCTTATATCAAATGATAAATTTATATGCTAAAATTAAATTTTTATTAGTATAAATGTTTTAGTGAGATAATATATTAATTATTTTACAAGTTATCCCTAACATGCTCATATTTAATGTTCTAGCTAAAAAACAACGATGGTTAAAATATGTGGAAAAAAACTTATAACATATTATTTTTTAGACTTAACGTTGATTAAAAAATGTAAAAAAATAGATAATAACCCTATTACTTTTTATATTTAAACGGAAAAGACTGTGAAAATAACTTATTTAATATTTTGTCCCGTGCATCGCACTAGTTTATTAGTAAAATAGTGTATAAATTGATTACAATAAAAAAAATGCTCACGGGATTAGTAAAAATACTCCATGGATTGAAGATTTAATGGGAATAAACATTTAAATTAATTAATATTGATAATTCGAAATTAGATAATTCAAAAACCTTCCAACATTGTTTTG